GCTCGTCGGGATATGGATCCCTATACGCGACTGTGTCTCCAAAGAGACAGTCGTTGTGGGCGACGAGGAAAACAAGAAGAGAAAGACTAAATGGGGATTGGGCAAACCCAACAAAGATAGCTGGGTAGCAGGTCTGCTGCTTGGAAGCGCCATGTTGGCGAGGGGCGAGATAGGAGTCTTGATCTTGCAAGTCAGTCTGACAACATCCCAAGCGAATGCTAGCTCGCCGAATGCCATCACAGTCATGGATACAGAGACTTACTTGATCGGTATCTGGGCTGTGGCGTGGAACACTATCATAGGACCAGTCATTTTCGGCCAGCTTGTCAAGTTTATGGGCAAGGGAGTCATCGATTCGCACTGGGGTAGCACCCTTCGCATTAGGCTGGAGCAGGAAGAGAAGAATGCGAATATGGATGCTGATTTGAGTGCAGGTGGGAGTGTGGGTGCGAGTGTAGGTGCAGGTGCAAATGACGATTCCAATGCGAATGCGAATGCAAGTGCAAACCAAAGTGAGAATGCAAATGTCCAAGACTTGCACAATCAGGATAACCCAGAGAACGAAAACAAGACAGGTGACAGCAACGTCTAGACTTACCAACTAATCCCGAGTTTTTCAGTGTATCTAGAGCAATGTGAATAAGCAATTGTATTATAGAGCTTTTAATATAATTTGTTATCGTAGATTGATTGGAGGCAAGAAGCACAGTAGTTGCCACCTGGCCACCTACGCACCTATTCACTGTTGGACATGTTTGACATGTGCGACACTGACGTCCTTCCTGATCCGGCGTAGAGGCAGAACAGGTTGATTGCCACTAAGTAAATTGTGGATTCACATTTAGTACATCAACTCAATTAAAAACGTTTCACCCAAGGCGGCGATCTCCTGCCAAGAACCGCCAAGAAGGCATGTGACTCCGCGCAATTTTCTTCATTCCAAACCTCCAACTGCAACCAACGAAGCGAATTATTCGCCGACAGCTTTAAACAGACAGCAAGCACACACAACCACACACAGATAGATAAAGAAAGTGACTACATGTTATGGCTTCTCATTCGATAACAACATATGAGGAACCAACAATGGTCAAAGAAGGCCCCTTGATGGTTCTCCTCGGTTTTTATTTCTGCCTCCAACTCGCGCGCATCATCGCTGACTACGTCCTCTCGGCTGGTCTTCTCGGCGAAATTGCGGTCGGTATCATTTTCGGTGGTCCTCTCGCTGGTATTCTCCCAGAATCTTGGGAGGAGACGTGGCTGACTGTTGGTTACCTCGGTCTTATCCTCATTGTTTTCACCGGTGGCTTAGATTTCGATGGTCCCAGTTTCCTGAGGTGAGTGTGAAATACGCAGAGAAATCCACACTAAATCCCCTAGATCCATTCCTATCGCTTTTGCAGCTGCTTTTTGGGGTGTTCTCATCCCAATCGCCTTCTCCTTCGCCATCCTTTGGAAAGCGTTTGGCTATCCTGCTCTACACGCCTTCACAGCGGGGTGTGCCTTGTCCTCCACATCTCTCGGCACTACCTTCTTCGTCCTACAGAGTCAGACAAAGAAAGGCCTTAACGTGCAAGCTACGCGAGTCGGCACGCTGCTAACTGCTGTAGCATTAACGTAGGTGTGCAGGTTTTAACCCCACTGCAAACTAAACAAAGCATACAGTGACGACGTTATAGCACTCGTTCTTCTCACTGTCGTCGAGTCTCTCGGAAGCGGCTCTGGCGGCTCACTGGGCTGGATAGTGGGTAAACCCGTCGTAGCCTCTATAGCCCTATCCATCGTCTCCCCTATCGTCGTATACGCGTTCAGGCCGGTGTACAGACGCTGGATTGAGCGTCCTCTCACCCACTATGGTGGCTACAGAGGCGGCTGCACTGTCGGCTTCCTCGTCCTA